CCATAATGTTTACTATGATGACTTACTTATCTCGATTCATCATGAGTTTCTTGATATTACTTTCTGTTATTCATTATCAAATTATTTACTTATTTCTCTATATCTCTCATTATATCATCTTCTCATCCAATAATTTAAGTGTATCCCAGTCACCTCATTCATACTATTCATCATTTCATCAGTTAATCATAGCTACTTAATCTTTTTCTATCATTCCTAACCTGCTTCTCTTATACGTGCTATCTGTCCATCGTCTATCTTTATCATTGTTATAATATAGCTATATAAACATTCTCTTACTTCACTCTTTTACTCTTCTCTTCTCTCATACTCTCATCCTCTCTATTATCCTACTCTCTTATCTACTTACTCTACTATTACTCTTCCCTTATTATCCCTTCTCTATAATTCACTCTATCGGTTCCTTCAGATCCATTATTAATTATATTCTATTAATCATTATTAGAATATTTCTTGTATCTGGTTTAACAGTTGAATGCTATCAATTATTCCCTTGATCGAATGATTCACTTTGATGGTTGCATCCACACGTTCTGTGCTGTCAATCTAACTGACTGACGCTCCGCCGTCCGTACTATCTCTTGACGTGGGTCGCCGCGGAGAGTACGAGCTTCCCACCTCCCAGCTCGCGTCTCGATCTCTTTAGCATTGTTCATCCGACGCCGCGTCTTTCATAGGCTGTCCCGAAAGGAACCCACCGCCCGCTTAGTCCTTTGGTTGGGGGAGTTCTTGACCGCTATATAAGCCCTGCTAATCATTCTATTCTATCATCATATTCAATGATGTGTTACTCTATTCTCCACTATTCTGCTGTAGTTATTGCCTGTCTAGTGATCTGATGTTTCCTATATACTAATTTTCTATTCATTCATAAACGATTCTGATCATCTATGTCTTCTCTCTTCTATTCATTATATGCTTCATTCTTCTATTTCAAAATCTTTATAATTGTTTTCATCTGTTTAATCTTGTTACTTTCTTACCAGTACTTTCATTTCATTATACTTATTACTTTATTCTTATCTTATCTATCTGTCTTATTATCTTATCTTCATTCTTCTTCTCTCTTCCTATCATCCTTATTATTATTATCTACTTATTACAACTACTTACTTCTATTATTCCTCTTCATTATCTTAATTATTATCATTATTCTTATATCTAATTTCATCATCTTTATTATTTCCATTTCAATCTTAATCTGCTATTCATTGTATTATCTCATGTCTATATTCGAGTACATCTATATATTGTTCTATTCTAATTATTTACTACACTCCGCGTTCATCATAATCGTGCCTAATTACGTCATCATCATTCTATTATCCTCACCATCATCCTCTTTGCCGTCAGTTTAATTCTTATTGTTATCGTCATTATTTTTCTTAATTTGGGTCGGTTTTAGTAAACTTGGCCTTGACTCATTTACCCGTCTTCTTATTCTTATCTGTTCTAATTGCTGTGTTACTCATTGTGACGTCTTGCGTTCCCCATCCGTTATCTTCATCTTATTATTTACTCTGTTGATTCTATCCAGGTTTCCGCACGTAAACCCCATGCCCAAAACATCATGGCTGTCGTTTGACGAATGGCATAACTACAATTCAAAGTCAAATCAGTTTCACACGTCTCGCGATCCCTGCGTCAAATTGTAGTCACCTCTCCCCCTGCCTTTGCGTTCTAGCGCTATTACGAAGTTGGGGAAGTGCATTCTCCCCCCTACCTCCTTATCCCATCACCAGGCGTGAGTGCGGATACTATGCGTCGTGGAGGACAATAATAACAATCTATTATTCACCTTGTGTTTTGGTTGTTGCCTCTACCTCCCCTGCCCCACTCCCCCCGCCCCGCCCGTCACCCAAAGTCCCCTACGTCTATATCTATCTATCAATCCATCATATCTATCTATCTCTGTATCTATTGCTGTAGTATCCTGAAGTCTATCGTGCTAATCACTCTAGCGCAACCCTCCTTTTCATCTCTCCACGCCCATGACAATTGGAGCGCCCAACAATCACGATGTCAAAGAAATCAGTCAGAGTACAGTAAATCTGAAGCGCCATGCAAGCAAGAACCCATCTCTAGCCTTCTGCCTCACCCCTGCCCTACTCTTGTGGCCCGATGATCGACAATACCAAAAATGGAACGCACCACTCGAATGGCTATGAGTACCGCGTGACTTCGGCCCTTCAGCTCGCTCGCTTACCACGGAGACCTGTATCCTCTACACCGTTTCACAGATAGGACATTATGCGTTAACCTATGGACAATTACATGTTCCTGCACTCCCCAAACAAACTCCCTACATGGGTCAACGCCATCCCTCCAGTCCCTCGAAAAAAACATCCCTACTCGTACCAGCTCCCACGTCTCGGCTGCTCCCTGATCTCGGACGGCTCCGCGAAAAATACGAAAGTTTGCGTATTATATCCGAACACTCGCAGTTCGAACTCCTGTACAAGTCTTCATCAAATTCTCCCACAGTTTTACATTACGCCTATCTCAGCGGACTATCACTCCTCGTATCTCTATCTCTCCGCTCAAGTCTCCTTTACAGATATCGAAAATCCTCAGATCGCTGCCCTCGAGAATCCTATGCTAGCGTCCCTCAACTCCTCTTTATGGTCTCAGTGGACGACGAGGTCCTCTCTTATTACTCGCCTCTCGCTCTACAGCTGCTGACGGCTCCGACGTCAGGCCGATCTCCCTGTACTTCTCCACCTCCCCCCAGGGCCCTCAGTCACACACCTCCAGTGCATCCGCTCTATTCTTCCAATCCGCACTGCGCAGTCGTAAGTCTTCTTATACTTATATCTAAACGAGACTCTCGCCCACGCCCACTTCGCTTAACGCCCACCCATACGCGCCGCTAACCCCGACGCCTTGAGCCACGTGTTTTCCTGTCGAGTCATACACGTCAAGACTCTTTCTCTCTCATTCTACTCCCATCATATCGTCTTACTTCCCTACGCGCAATCTAGCTCATGAGTTGTCTCTATCATGTTAGTGTGCCAGCGCCGCCCGCACCCCAGCCGCTCCGTTATAAGCTGGACGCTAAATTAATCCTTCCTAATATGTAGCTTTGGCTGACATTACACGTCTTGTAGTAAAAGATCTCTTTTCTCTCTCTTTTTTTTCTTTCTCTGTTTATTCTGGTCAATCACATCGTTACGCCGTGCCATCTCCTAAAACACGATAAGTGCAGTAACTAGAATATGGTTTACCAGGACAAAGGTATATACAAAATTATAAAATGATATTCCCTAATTGACTAACCATTCTGAAAATAACTCAGCTAGTCTCACCTCCCCCCCTCATCCCTTATCTGTGACGTGTCTAGCTTCTAGTACGATCCCTATGGATTTGCTAGCTCGTCGCTAGTGCCCCATCCAGTAGTCTTCTCTCGTTTTATTTTCTTCTTTTCCTTTTGCATCTTTTCTTCATTAATCCTAATCCCACCATCATATCAATTCTGAGTTAATATCTGTATTCATTATACTATCATATATACCTACAGGATGTTGAGTCCATAAGTTTTGTTGAAATCTAACTTGTGCGATTTCCCGTAATTATCACTCCTTTCGCTGTCTTAACGAGGTGCGAATAGATCCTCAGGGCACATATCTAAAAAAAACAAATCAAAACATACAAAAATTACGCATCCTGTTTCTAAGCTGACACATGTACAAATTACACATCAGCTGTGTTCTTTTTATTTTTATCTTTTCGTCGCTACTTTTTTTCTTTGTTCTTCTTCTTTTATTTTTACGTTACTGTGCTTTCATGTGCTTCCTGCTTATTGCTATATGGCTTACTTCACACCCCGGCTACTATCCATAACGATTGGCGGTATGCTTGTGACGGATGATAGATGGAAGGGGTGAAAAGGTGGATCGAGTCAACGGTGGCATAACCGTAATGGAATGACGGTGTCAAGTTTCTATAGCACTGCGCGGTTTCCAGATCTCCCTACGAGAACAGGCGGTCGATCAAAGACAACAATGTGCTCGGGGCACTGAGGGTTTAACAAGTCATTAAGCATATTCCAGTAAAGCTCCTTCTCTCCTTCTTTGACATCGGGGGAAGAAAAGGGGGGGGAAGGAAGAGAGGACAAGGGATATACTGGAAAGGAGGAGGAAGAGAGAGAGAACGATAGGCTTACGAGACGGTGCCGATTATGAAATAAATATCATGGAAATTCTGCATTCATGGTTAAATGCACCAAAATATTGTATACACTATTTTCCCCTCAATGTATGCACATACCACGATGAACAACACAGTAACAGGAGATTAATGAAGCTTCCAAAATGTTTTGTTCCAATTCTAATTAAATCACCTCGCTATTTCTAATTAAATCAGCTCGTTACGCTTCGTGATCAGAAGTCCCATTCATTAAGCCAAAATAATGCACAAATATTTACATACCACACTGTATATTTACACCCATTTATCGGATATTTAATGAGCAACGCAGGATATACGAAAAGTAAACAGATTGGTGATTGACGCGACCGAACTCACGAAAGCGAAATCTGAAATGTCAAACAAGTCGTAGTTTAACGACTTCATTTTCTTTTTCTATATTCTTTTACTTTGCAATTTATTTTGCGTGTTGTATTCGCGAGCAATAATTCTATCTAGAAATGCCTCGCTCTCTGGCCCATTCTGCTTTCATCAAGTTATTTCTTTTATTTATTCTGCGATACACCGTTTAGGAATTTACGCAAATGCCAATTTCAGTTGCCTGGGCATTAGAATTTATGTGAAATATACGTTAACTTCTTTCTCCCGTTTACCATCCTTGTTGTTTACTTTCCCCCTGTATTTTGTTTCTGACAAAGGTCAGGGTTGTTTACAGTCCCTAGAAATCATAATGTTATGTGTGTCACAGTGGTAGATCAGATTGCAAAAGGATATCAATTATAGACATGTTACCCATTTTCCCTTTTTCTCCCCGCCATGTTTGTTTACATTAGGAGTCGTACTCGCCCTATACCTCGTCGTACAGCACCTCCTCCTACACCCCTTTGGAGACCTCGGAGATCACGGAGACCCGCCGTAGCGTCTCCCCTATAAGGACGACCTCCTACAGACCCTCTGCCACGACCCAGCTCGTCCTTAACCGAGTGGCTTTGAGGCCGACGACTTTGCTCAGGGTAAGGCTCCCCCTCGACTGAGATGACGGCGAAGACGCGTCCAAGAATCTAGGGGCCGATTTCGTATGCTCTTCTTTTCTTTCCTTTTCTGCTCTCTCTCTTCTCCCCCCCCCTCTCTCTCTGTCCCTGTCTGTCTGTCTCTCTCTCTCTCTCTCTCTCTCTCTCTCTCTCTCTCTCTCTCTCTCTCTCTCTCTCTCTCTCCTCTCTCTCTCTCTCTCTCTCTCTCTCTCTCTCTCTTCTCTCTCTCTCTCTCTCTCTCTCTCTCCTCTTCGCTCTGTCTCTCTCTCTCTCTCTCTCTCTCTCTCTCTCTCTCTCTCTCTCTCTCTCTCTCTCTCTCTCTCTCTCTCTCTCTCTCTCTCTCTCTCTCTCTCTTCTTTATCTTTCCATTTTAGCGATGAGTCATATTTGCGTTCTGTTCCCGACTATATTTTATTTCGCCATTTTTTCATTTTCACGCATTTTTTTCGCTTGCGATTGTTTGAGTTTCTGTTATCGGCGTCGTTGTATTATGTTTATTATACATATCGGTTTTATTATTTTCTTTACGTAAAGCTGTTTTTTTCTTGATTTTTCTTTTTTTTCTTCTTGACCTGATGCTATTAGTGTTTCTTATCTATGCTACATTACTTGCTGGTTGTACTTTTTATGTTCTGCAACAAAAACAACAAAAACATCCACACATGCCTACATCAGCTTACAAAAACACTAAACAAAAGCTTTCAAATATCTAATCCATAATATCTTCGCCTGGCTTAGGCAAAGAAGCCATTGATCATTTCATTTCAACAAAGCCAATACCTGAAGCCGTTTGCGTAAGTCACTTTATCTCCTTGTCTTTGTGGCTTAAGCTGATTCATTGCAATGCTCTGTTATGCTAATTCAATGAGGAAAGCACACCGGTACAGGTTACTAAGCATTCGGTCACGTGTTTTCATGCTTCAGTTAACTTACATCTTCTGGAATAAATAGCAGTGCAAATGCTTATCTTCTTACTCATCTTATTTTCTTCATTGGTTGCCCGAATTCATCTTTGCGCTACTAATGAATATGGGTTCACTCAAGAGGCGTGTGCAGTGATTTTGCAAGACATGTAAACGCTGGTCTAATTCAGCTTATTCACCTATTTCATCTAATTAATCTTTCCATCTAAATCACTCATCCTTGTTTTGAATGGGCGCCTTTTTCATTCATCATCCTCTTTCGTGACGATGCCGACTAAAAAGAAATGATTTGCATGCTCTTTAATTGCAAATAATAAAATCTCATGGCAGACGAGGCATCTGTGTCAGGAAGCACAGAAGGCGAAAAGTGCCTGTGTTTTCCAGTTGCCATTTCTTCTGGCCTGTGATAACGAGTTCATGAACGCCTTAAAGGAGAAATACAAGCTCCTCTCGATGTCCATTTATAAACGACGGTGGCGCCAGAGTCCTCGTGGGGATCGGCAACTTCAGTTTCTGCAAATATGAATCTCTTAGGGTTTCCGCTCTGCTCTGAATCTCCATCTTCCTTTTCTCGAAGAAGCGTTTTGACTTCATAATTGCATCGGTTTTAGAATCAAGACAAACAAACAGTATTGGAACACGACTATGGCTGATGGTCGCGTGGGGGCTCTTGGTGTATTTTTAGTGTCGAGGACGTGCCAGAGCGTAAAGGCTGAAGGGGAGCTTGTATCACTAACCTGAATAAAACATTTGTCATTTAAGAGAATATAGTTACTTGTCACTGATGCTTTGACTATGTTCAATGTTTTTTTCTTCTTCATGTGGAAAACCATTGCTCAAACGTACTTTCTTCTTTTTTCTTCATTTCCTTCATCTCACTCTCATCTTGGTTCATCTTTGGTTCAGGAACCACCAGAAAGTACTCTCCATCTCCATCCACTATCAACTAGGATGATACTAAGGAGGATGGACAAAGATAGCGGGGTAAGCCTTCGCAGTCGCTAGTCACGCCGTGGCAAGGGAAGCATGTGCTCAAGAAGGCCCTTAAAGAGCAGTGTGCATGTGCTGAACAGGGGTCTTTAAGAGCAACTCGTTATACGTTATGAGTGCATCTGGCTGAATGCTTGTAGTTCAGTTAATCGATTTGGTTTATTTGGGTCTTAGAGGATGCAAAATAGGTAAGGGGTGACGGACATGTTGCATGAATTGTATAGAAAGTTTATCCTTGTGATTTGCTAGGCCTGTAGAAGGGAACTTCAAAGGGCAGGAAAAGAGACAGATTTAGGGGAAATAATTTTCAAGCGATAGGTTAAGACTCTTCAGACATTAGTAAAGAAATAAGATGTATCTTAAGGACAATAATAGAATGTAGGAATGAGGAATGTGTGACAGTGTATCATGATGCCACAGCGTACAGCGATATGCGTCGGTTGCACAACTAAACGCCTTGTAGTCACACTAGTTGGTGCTGCTTTGCGAACAAACGCTTCATATTGTTGTAGATAGAACTTGTCGTTGTGGAGATATAAGGCGTAACACTTATTAACACCATTAAAGAAAACGGTGATGTCCTAAGTGATATTTAAATCCTTTCTCGGACTTCTGTTAAGGCATGATCAGCTTCGATCGCATGCGGTTGGTTAAAATACATTGCTTGGCATGCATGGCCTTCCCTTCTGATTCCAAAGGTACATTTAAAAAGCCTTTTTCAGCATTTTTCAGAAATTTTCACCCTTGTTCTATCTCATTTTTCCTTTTTGTTTGTAGCAGATTTTTTATTTTCTGCTGCATATTATTTTCGATTTTTGGTTCTGCTTATTATTACCTTTTCGTTACAGTTTAAAGTAAACGTGTTTGCTTTTATCTATTTGATTTTATTCATTTGTCACTAACCTTTGTATTTTTTCTTCAGTTGACTCTTAACGTTAGCTTGCATCTTTATTTTTTTTATTTGTCAATATTATCTCCTTGTCTTCGCAATCAGAATTCTATCGACTTGTTTTGCCATATATTCAACGTACCGAATTAAGCACTAATGAATCACAAAAGAAAAAGAAACAGTAAAACAATAACAAAAGGATTAGAAAAAAAACTTCACAAGCAGTCAGATCCTCAACCAGTGCTTCCGCGGCCTCCTCCCCCACCGACGGGATCCGAGGTCGCCGCCAGCCAGTCCCGTGACCTAATCTCCCCGCTCGTTTTCCAGGGCTACCCTCCCATGGGCCCCCCACCCCCACGTATGGCTCCCCGCAGCATGGGTCCCTACTACGACTATGACTACGGCTACGGAGGGGGCTACGGCGGGGGCTATGGAGGGGGCTACGGCGGGGGCTATGGAGGGGGTTACGTCCCGCCTCCAAGGATGAGGTGAGTGGTATGTCCCTTGGAAGGATGGGGCAAGCGCTCTCTCCGTCTCTGGTTCTCTTTCTATCTGTATTTCATTTGCGCTCTCTCTTTCTCTCCCTTTCTCTCTCTCTCTCTCTACATATCTTCCCCTCTCTCTCTCTCTCTCTCTCTCTCTCTCTCTCTCTCTCTCTCTCTCTCTCTCTCTCTCTCTCTCTCTCTCTCTCTCTCCTCTCTCTCTCTCCTCTCTCTCTCCTCCTCACACTCACTCACTTAGTCTCTCTTTTCGCTGTTATTGTTTTCTAGAATCGTTTTACATAGTCCTAAGTAGTTTTATAATATGCTTTCTTCTTCATTCTTTATGAAAAATATGAAATATACAAACTAAGTACAGTTTTTATTGATTCATAGAGATAAGAGGTGGGTAGTCTGATTAATCAAATCTGCCAAAAGCTAATCAGCAATTAATTACCGACGGAAAAGAAGGATTACTATATGGTAATTATCTCTTCACCCCTCCTTCTCCTCTCTTCCAATATCCTATTGTCTCCCCCCTCCCCCCTCTCTCCCCTCGCCTTCATTAACTACAATACTCCCTTCCTTCGCTCTCTCTCTCTCTCTCTCTCTCCTCTCTCTCTCTCTCTCTCTCTCTCTCTCTCTCTCTCTCTCTCTCTCTTCTCTCTCTCTCTCTCTCTCTCTGCCCAACCACTTTCTCCTATCCTCCACCCACTATCTCCATCATCATTTCAACCACACCATAACTCCCACAACACACCCCACCTCCATCCCCACCTCCCTCATCCCCACCATCACTCCCATCTACATCCACACCCCCATCACTAACCCCCTTCCTACCTGCCCCCTCCCCATCCCCCACCCCATCCCCACCTCCATCCCCTCCCTATCCTCCACACACCCCACCCCATCTCCCACCCCCTACCTACCTGTCTTCTATCCCCACCCTACCTACCTGCCTCTACCCTCCCCCACTCTATCCCTGCCCCTTACCTACCGTCTCCCCTCCCCCACCCCCTTACCTACCTGTCTTCCCACACCCCCCACCCTATCCCTACCTACCTGCCTCCACCCCAACCCATCCCCCACTCTATCCCTGCCCCCACCTACCCTCCCCCACCCCCCACCCCCCCTACCTACCTGCCTCCATCCCAACCCATCTCTCACTTCTATCCCCACCCCTACCTACCTGCCTCTACCCCAACCCCCCCCACTCTACCCTGCCCCTTACCTACCTTCTCCCCCTCCCCCACCCCCTACCTACCTGCCTCCATCCCAACCCATCTCTCACTCTATCCCCCACCCCCCCACCACCTATCTCCCCCTCCCCACCCGCAGCCGTTACGACAGCTACCTCGACGACGAGTTCTTGGAGCCGAGCACCTACGTCCCCCGCTATCGTCCTCGCATGCATGACCACCTCGACGATACCGACTTCCGCGAAAAGGTCAGTTCGCGTCAAGGATGATGCTCTTGACGGCCCTTTTCCTTTCTCTTTTTTCCCCCTTTTTCTATCAATACGACACTCGACACGACGTTTCTTATGAGATGCACTTGGAATACAATGTTGACACACTGCACTTGGTACATGAATTAAGAATCTGATACACGACATTTGGCACACGCTCTATGAGAGATTAAATTCTTCTCGTGCACATACACACAAAAAGAGAAAAAAAAAACACACAAGCGCAAACACAAATTATCACACACAACATCACACACACACACACACACACACACACACACACACACACACACACATACACAAATACACAAATCTACACAACAAATACAAACTCAAACATACATTCACACAAAATTCACAAACATAAATCTATTTCCTTTCGTGTTTCGTGCCATAAAGAGCTAGAGACTTTAGATAGCATGTAGAAAAGGCCAAATATAAATATTTTAGATGTCAGTTAGATATGTCTGATGTCATGTTCTTCAAAGTCTCAAGCTTTCTGAATATAGTTAAAATCCACTTCAAATAGATAAATGATCTTATGTTTTTTTCACGTTAACATAAACAAAACAAAAAAATCCAGTGTTCCTGTGTTATTGTGTTATTATTCAGTTCGTGTTAGCATATTTGTCAGCCACACAATGTTAGTCCCACGAACCAAAGAATATGTTTGTGATATGTTCCTTCCTAAGAATAACATCCATGAGACGTTTCAGGAGTCCATTGGAGAACAGCTTGCCCCCCCCCCCCCCCCCCCCCCGCCAACAAAAAGGGAAAACAGATATATACATTTAAAACGTTTGATTTTAAAGTGCCCCGACCAAGCAATAAAAGATCCCCCCCCCCCCCATGTTTCTTTAATACACTTAAAAAAAAACCGCCCCCTAAAGAAAAAAAAAAGAGAATTCCTTCAGACGTGACCCCCTCCCCCCCCCAAAGAAAAAAAATAAAAATAAAAAGTTTCATCATTTCTTCAAGAATGACCCAAGCCCCCCCCCCCCCCAAAAAAAAAAGGAAAAAAAAAAAAGAAAATCAAAGCTACTCCACAAAGACCAAGTCAACTAACTAGCTTCGTTTCCGTCCTCCTCCTGCGCCCCCTCCGCCCCCCGCGCCTCGACAGATCACACCACCCCACAGGGCACCACCGCCACCCCATCACCCCCAGGGCCACCGACACCTCCGTCCGGGGCTACACGCCTGGTGTGAGTCGCTTCTTCTTCGGTCTCGTTGTCGCCTCGAGGACTCTGGTTGCGAGACGCGGCTTGGCTTGGGACTTTACTGTATTTTTTCATTCTTATTGAATTATTATTTTTTCACCATTATTGTTATTATTATTATTTTCACCATCATTGTTATTATCATTATTATCACCATTATTGTTATTATTATTATTATCATTATATTACTGACGATGAAAATGATAATAACATCAGTAATAGTGTTTTTTATTATTGTTGTTGCTGTTATTATTATTATTATTTATCTATCATTATTGTCATCATTATTGAAATCAGTATTATCAGTATCACTGCCATTATTATTATCATTACTGTTATTGTTGTTTGTTGTTATTATTGTTGCCTTCACCTCTCTGTCAATGCATTTATTTTTCGTTGTCTATTTTAAGAGTCATCTGAAAAGTTCCAATATCAAATCAGCCATATCTCTTTATTTTATCAATCAATCTGTCTATCTATTCATCGATCAACTTATCTATCTGTTTATATATTCATCTATTCTTTAGTTCATTCATTCAATAGCGGCTGATATATCTCAAGCATTTGGAAGTGTCTGTCCGCCGATGGTCAGCATTACCAATATTTATCAAGTAATGGTAATGGTAATGGCAATTGTGGTAATACTGGTATGGGGTAAAAGTAACGGTAAGCCAAAGCTGTCTCATGATCACTGATCTTCTTTTGTAAATTAAATTGATGTGAAGTAAAATTTATAAAATTTATTCATTTTGTAAATAAAGAGAACCATTAGAACTTCAAATAAATCAAATTTTAGATCAGATTTTTAAAAAAGATGTATCTATATCTTTAAAATGATCACAAATCCAAATCAAGGATAAAAGGCCCACTAGAAAACACACAATCCAAAGGGGCAAAGGTACAAATTAAGGCCAAACCTCAAGCCACATATTTATTGTGGCTTGACAACGGCCCCCCCCCCAACTCCCCCGTCCCGCATTTCCCTCCACCCCCTCTACCCCTCCCCCTGCATTTTAAAAGCTTCGCCATTTCTAACTGTAACTCTTATGGACTCACTCGCAATGGACACTGTTGAGGAGGAACTCTTACACTAACGTTGCTTTTGCTTCTCTCTGCAATGTGCAATAACTTTAACTCGCTTACGATGCGTCGTTGATTTGCCACAGTTTCAAACCTCCTACTTCCCCATTTTTAACTTGGTGTGTGACATGTTGAAAATATGTCGAATGATACTTAATCTCCACATATTCATGATACCTTTTCAGCTAACACCCATTCATGGCATCTCTCAGCTATGTACATTTTCCTTTGATTTTTTTTTCCAAAGAGGTACCACATGCTATAAATAGTCTACTCATATATCTTACTGGATTTCATTTACATCTTTAAAGTAAAGTAAATCTCAAATTATGCTCTGCTATGTAGTCCAAGAAGGGAATGTGCGACGATACGACGGTAAAATTCGAGAAGAGTGATTCATTAAAGATTGAGTTAAAATCTTGATTAGATAAGATTAAAGGCCCCTTGAATTTCAGATTTCGATTAGACACTTACGAGCCCTATCTCTACGCCTTTTTTTTAGAAACGGGAACAGCCATTGAAAACATTGAATAAGTGAGAAAAATATTGAATAACCACATTTTCTGGTGAATCATCTCGATTTATCACTTCTCTCATGTTACGGGATTATCCTTCATTTCCCAGCTGGTTAAAAACACGAAAAATACTAAATGCTTTTCCATCAAAATCCTCAACATTTTTATATTATCAACATCCCCTTACCACCCTACCACCGCATGTGTTTATTTTCTTTTGAATTGATAAAGCAAAAATAGCAACTCGTTTCGTGTCGTTTTACTTGCACGCTAACGATCTTATCACTCTTATCTCTACTCCACTGATCGATTCTCCTGACAAATAACACACTTACACCCATAACATACGCTCTGATGCTGACAACACATTTTTTTAGCCAGCTTCAGTTCCTGTTTTGTAACATTACTTTTTTGCAGTTCTTTGGTAACTTTTGCTTTTTTGCTTCATCAGAAGATATTGGCCAAAAGATAATACAAAATGCTATTAAAAAGTTAATATGGTCAAACTGGTAATCATAACATAATCTCTAACTTAAACATAATGTATGCTTTGAATGATTTCCTTATTTGGCTTAAGTTTCTTTATTTTTTCTTTTCCTGTTGTACCTACAATGTTAGAAAGCCTCTTGTACATTCATTTAAGATTTATTTCATCCATCCATTTTCTTTCTTTCTGTTATCTATTGATTTTCTTTTTTGCATCTAATATAGTGTTTAATATCTCACCTCCTGATTCAACGTTATAATATTATTTTTTTTCTCCTTTATAACATGCCATTACCAAACCATCGTCGCCAATGCAAGGTACGAGATGCGGCGACGTTTGCCTAGTGTTGTTTTTTTCCAGATGGATTTTAATGAATAATGAATACCTTTTTTTGCTCACGTCCCTTCTGCGCTAGTATATAGTCTGATCTCGATGGCTCTAACGGTAGTCATTCAACCACTTTTGCTTGTTTGCATATTTTCTTTTAGGAATAACTTGATTAGTCGTCCTCCTTTAGTATAAAGTATATATATAATATATATATATATATATATAATATAATATATATATATATATATATATATATATATATATATATATATTCCTCTTTTTATTTCATTTTATCTATTCATCTGTATAGTATGTGTCCGTTTGTATATTTTTATTCCGTATTACTGAGTATTTAACTGTTGTCATTTCTATTTTGTCAAAATTGTATGAATCGAAAGACGGTCCTGTCTGCATAGAATGCAAAGCACTGTCAGCTACTGACGATAACTGCATTTACCAACAGTGAAATAATGTTGCATTTAACTCTTCTTACGCCGTAACTCAGAAGTGAAAGCGGAATGATGCTTCTAGTTCATGTCTAATTGGTTAAAGCATTAGCATTACATCTCGCAGAGCTGATTCAGTCTCGTCCGGCCAACGGCTTGGGTCTGGTTCAACTCCTTTTGTGTAGTCAACCATTTTTGAATGCGCTTAAGCGTTCATTAGATCCAATTCCCGCACTTGGCTGCACTGAGCAAGGCTGATATGACACAAGCCTGTCCCAGGTATAAAAGTCTACCTGTAGGTTGCCCAGATGCCTAAGCAGCAGCCAAACCAGACTCAAGTGGCAGAGTGTGTCGAGGTCTTCCACCCACGCCCACCTCGGCACACTCTCGCTCCGTCTCGCCCGTAGCTTCGCCGCCTAATAAACTAACTCCCGCCCCCGCCCCTAGGCCCCCGCCCCGAGAGGCCTGGAGGGCCCCGACGACAGCATGGCCCTGGTGCCCCACCGCAGCCAGCGGCCCAGGCGGGCGCAGCTCGAGTCCGGCCCGCGTCCCGAGACCACAGTGGTGCCGGGAGCCGAGTCCGAGGGCGACCGCCACCTGGCCCGCCTGGAGCGCCGTTACCCCAGCCTTTCTGAACCGCAGATGCTCCAGGACCACGTCGACAAGATGCGCATCAAGCTCAAGTCCCTGGCCTTCTCGCTCGACCCGTCCGGCCCCGTCCCAGACATCATCATCCCCGAGAAGAGGAGGTAGGTTTCGGGCGCCGCCCCGCTCTCTCGTGGCTCGGCTGGCGGCACGCGCAGCCTCTGAGCCTCAGTATCATGATGGTCATATCTATACTGGAATAATTTAGAGTCATACTGAAGTGCACTTAAATAGCATCCTGTGATATAGTCAGCCTTCAGATACTTTCCCACGAGGAAGCTATACATTAACGACACCGCCCTGCTATATGACAAGGCTAAAAAGCCCTAATTCCGCGTCTCCGTTGCAGGACGACCGATCCCTCCGACTCCAAGTACTCCAGGGGTGAGATGACGCGAACTCAAAGGCTCGCCTTTTCTCGTTTTACTTGCTGCCACAACTTATATTTGATTCTTTACTTCACTAAGACTTAAATCGGATCCTAGAGTTCATTCATTTCTATCTTGGATTTTCTTTCTTTTAATTGATGCAATTGTGCCATTACTCATTTCAAAGCTATGGAAAAAATATAACATAACTGATATTTCATTTTGATATCAAAGATGTTCATTATAAATGCACAATAATGCACTTCTATTTAGAAATCCACATATTGACTATTCATATATATACTTACCTTTATCATCATATGGAATTCCAATATGATAAGTGTTAATTACAGAAGTATATCATCTTTTTTGTTTATATATATATTCGCTTACCATAATATGTGTCCCCTACGACCCTTCCCTCTTTGACCCTGTGTGAGTGTGAGTGTGTGAGAGACGCATTGACAAGCGAGCCTCCTGTCACTGGGTAGAGAATGTTTAGTTTGAGGAATGTGTATAACATGTGGGAGGTGGGCACACACAGGGCCCAAGCACCTGGCCTGTGTGGAATTCGCGGGTGGGCAGCCCCAGTGGAAGCGAAGAGCCCGCGCGCGCTACCCTTCTGAGGACCCCGAAAACGTGACCATGTTGGCCAAGGCCGAGTACGTGGACAAAGAGGAAGACCCTGGTAGGTCACCTTCCGTGTTCCCATCACACGCCCACCACGTCTCTTCCCTCGGCTGTGACAGAGGAACGAATCTGTCAGACCAAAAATAAAGAATAAGATGATAAATCAGAAACAAATTAAATTATTTAGACCCGTCTTTATTTACACCGGTGTGATTTTATGTAAACAGATGCCAGTAACTGTAGGAAGCTAGTGGGTAACGTCATGATTACCAAACAAAACTCCCAGAATGATAAAGAGACATCACGGTTTATCATAGATTCGTCCTCCTGTCACAGACGAGTTGGTAGTTGTGAATTTTTGACCGTGGGTTCCGTTCTCCATGACATGACAAGGAATGCGAACCCCGATCTGAAGTTCACCTCAAAAATCTCTACACTTCTCTCTTTCTGTCTATCTCTCTCTCTCTTCTGCTGAAACTGCTTATGTGCTGCTGCTGAGTTGTCTGCTTCTGGTGCCTCCACTGATACTGAGCGCCGTGTGTTGCGGGATCCCGAGCCAACGGTATTTGTACTCACGCGAAATTCCTACAACAAAACTGAGCTTTTGCGAGGAATAAGTTATGTACTGTGCTGGTCATGGCTGAAGCATCTGTTGTGTGAAAGGTATGGGTGGTTGTGTGTGCTGTATGCGATTGAAATATGATGCTTAGAAAACTGTTAAGGTAGGAGTGAGATCTTCAAAGTAACGCAAAAGGCTAGTATTGTTTCATCCTTCAAAAGTGGATATGCTTTGCAGAACATTTCTAAAGCATGTTATATTCAACTATAATATCTCTAAGAAGTAAAACAACCAAATTATTTTGCCGTTCTATAATTAACAGACGTTCATAAAACGACAGTACAGCTATTGTTTATGTTTCATTCTCTATGCTTCTTGTTTCATTACTGAATCTGGCCCTAATGGTAGTGTCTGTCAAATATTTATCACATGAAAGTATATAAAATCTTTACAGTACTTTTCGTAATGAGACTGATAATAATGTCGTAAGTTCTTTCCGGTTGAAATACTCTAAACGCATTTTGAAGACATGTGATATAAACATATTTTGTAGCAAGAATGAAAAACAATTGGTATGATCCTCTTGAGTACAAACAAGGAAGTATACTGAGGATTCATAAGGGAAGACACGAGACAGAGGAAGACAGTTTGCAGGAGCCCGCAAGGACGGCAAAGCTTTAGACGCAGGAGTCGAGGTTAAAGGTCAAAGGTCAAGTGGGATGGAAACGGCCTTTGGTTCTAAGGCAAAGAGAGTACAGGATCGAATGAGGTCAGAGGGTTAATAAACGTATTTTCTAGAGATAAAATGTGTTCTTACAAATTGGTTGTTACATTGTTTAGTGCAGAGGGAAATGGGGGATTAAATTTTACATGCCTTCATGACGATCTATGTGTGTGTATGTGGGTGGAAGGGTGAGCATGAATGGTCATACATATATGCGTATATATATATATATATATATATATATATATATATATATATATATATATATATATATATATATATATATATATATACACACACATGCGTGTGCATGTGCTTTTGTATGTGTGTATACATATGTGTGTTTGTGTGTGTGTGTGTTTGTATGCGTATGTACATGTGTGTGTGTGTGTTTGTATATGTATATACATGTGTGTGTGTGTGTGTGTGTGTGTGTGTGTGTGTGTGTGTGTGTGTGTGTGTGTGTGTGTGTGTGTGTGTGTGTGTGTGTGTGTGTGTGTCTGTGTGTGTGTATATATATATATATATATATATATATATATATATATATAT